GGGAGGGTGTGCAGGAAAAGTAAGAAAAGGAGAAAGGGTCTTGAACACCTACAAAATGCCCATCACAGACTAGACTCTGCGTGTGCTTCCTCATTTAATTTCAATACAGTCACAGTGAGAAAGGAGCTTCAGGGGAGGAGTGTGAGGTTCTTTCCCAACAAAAGGGGGTTGTTTCCCATACTAAGATCATAGAAAGGCAAAGTTCTGTTTTTAAAAGAGAGAAAATATGTTTTTGAGGGGAAGGACAGTAGGGCCGCCATTCCCCATGTCAGTGAGAAAAAAATCTAAGAGCTAAAGATGACCATGTGGGGTGAGGCTCCAGGGGAGAGACCAAGTGTCAGAAGACCTCTGGGTACAGGTCAGTAACAATTTCGGGGCTTATTTCCTCACCAGTAAAATAAGGGTAATAGCCTATATCCTCTCTAAGTTCTCTCACAATTCCATGACTCCATGTTGTAGAGTCTACCTTAGATTTTCTGTGGACTGAATAAATGAATACACAGATGGAGACATGAATCACTCAGTGAAGCTTCTGAAACATCTTAAACTATCTTTCTGTATCCCCCACCCTTCTATGCGTGGCTCTACCTTCCTGCCCCCAACCTCCTCGAGGTACACCATTACAACTCCTGGCTTCTGAGAGACCTCCTCCCTGCTCTGAGATCATGATCAGCCTCAAGATAGCAGGTGACTGCTCTCCACTCCCTCACATCAACCACCTTGGAAACTCAGAAATGATTCTTCCATGTGGCTAGATTTCCTTGTAAAGTTGAGCACCTCTTGATTTGTTGTCCTCCCCGGTTTCTGATTTTGGCTATTATGGTATGGATGACCCAGCACCCAAGCTTGAGCTGGGTTCTTATGCAAAGAGGGTAGGTGAAAATACAAAAGAACAAGTCTCCAAAAGCAATGTTCAAGCCAGACCGTGGCAACAAAGGACAGGAAAGTCAAGGCCCCACATCAACCCCAGACAAAGACAGGTCACTTTGAAGGCATGTGAGCTGGGAGTCAGGCAGGGTCTCTCACTTCCTTTATAGCTGTTCTGTCTTGTTTCTTGGTAGATTAGGAGTTGTTACATATCTTTCCAGATTCATCAAGAGAGAAGACTTTCACCATCAAATACTAGTTACTTCCCCCAAGAACCGGTTAAAGTGAATTTTAATTACATGTTTACATGTTTCCCTCCATCATTACCCTCTCCCTACCTCCCAGTGTATTAGCTTTGTTTGTATCTCCCCAAGTTCCTAAGCTTAGAAAATATTCAATGGTAGCCTACTGACTGAATGAATAAATGAACAGACACATATCACATACTTTATTTTCTATACAGAAAAAGAGGACCTAGAAGGTGGTGCAGTAGTTAAGGTGCTGGATCCCACATGGTGACTCTATAGTTCGATTCCCGACCTAGGAGCTAGAAAAACACACTAGGCGCACATGTGTCCATGCCCAAAGTCCCTAGAAGAGAATGGAGGAGATGGAACTGTGGTATGGCCACCACCACCCCCCCACCCAGAGGGATGATTTCTCACTTTCCCTCTCTCTCTGTTTCTCTTGTCTCTCTGATGAATGTATGTGCCCTATGGCAAAAATCTGAAAAATAAATAAATAAATAAATAAATAAATAAAAAGATCCCAAGATATAGAAGTTAGTTCATCTGCCCAAGGTTATACTGTCAATTACTGGTTGGGGAATCCCAAGCTAAAAGCTAAACTGGACCCTATCTTAGTTCTTGAATGATGTAGAAAAGGATCTAGCAGTAACTGAGCATCACCAGCCAGCCAGGCACCACACGGTATGTCACAAAGCTGTAAAGAGGTTCAGAGAGGTACTCTGCCTGGATTGCTCCTCAGTCTTCCCACTCACTCCTACAAAATGAGAATTTTATATTTTTGTTTCCATTCTTTAGGTTTCAGCTTAGAAGTTGTTTCCTTCAGGAAGCCTTTTGTCCTGGCTCCCCCGTAATTCGGTGAATGACCCTACTCTCCTATACCCTGCCCTCTGTGCTTTCGTCCCCTGGTGGCATTCGTGCTCTGTGCTATCATCAATTGTTCTGGTATTTGACTCTTTCCTCAAAGGTGGAGCTCACGAGCAAAGAGCAAAAGCTATATCCCTAATACACTGAATCTCACCACTAGGCAAAACACCTGGCACATAGCAATGTACCAATGATTTGTGCAAGGAAGGAAGGAAGGAAGGAAGGAGACAAAGAAGAAAAGAAGGAAAAAATAAGAAAATAAGGTTTCCAAAGTCACAGAGTTGAGAAATAGAGAAGTGGGGATTTGAATAAAGGCCTTCCTACTTCTGAAGACTATACTCTTTCCATGGGTTTTAAAAAAAGGCCTCCCTTTTTTTTTTTTTTTTTTTTTTTTTTAAATTTTTATTTTTATTATCATTATAATCTTCTTTATATTACATTGGAAGGCCTTCCTACTTCTGAAGACTATACTCTTTCCATGAAAACACACCCTTTTAAGGGCCACTGTAAGGTCTGTTAGTATATTTTTGTGGATTTGTCTTTAAATTTGCACATTACCATTCTCCAGTTAACATATGTTAATCAATAGACTTTAAAGTGTCACAGGTCAGAGACAGTGGATGAGATTGTCCAGGATGCCTGGGACTCCAAGATCACGGGGTATTGCACATGGGGGGTACTCTATGCATACTGTGTCATGAGCTAAATATGTTCAGTTCACCCATTGTGATGATAGTGGTTCAGACCAGGAACAGCTAACCACCAGCCTTGGCAATGCCATTCAATGTCTATGAGATGGGAGAGCGTTGAAAGACTAAGACACTGAAACTATGATGGGGTCAAGTTTGTTTAAGTGTTTTAGGACTAAAAGAGGAATATGCTGCTGCAAAATACCAGAGTGTCTTATTGTCCCATGGGTTTAAGAGTAGTTTCTAGAGTTTAAGCTCAGTTCATGATCATGCAAAATAGGTAGTTTCTCTGAGAGCTAAAATAATGGTATGTAAGAGCTTTTGTTGTCAGTATGTCCCACCCATCCCCCAGTCTTGCAAAACATTTATAAAAGGGGAGACAGCACATAGAGCACGATGAAAATACAACTTGAAGACTGGGGAATATTTTTTCTCTCTGCAATTCTTTTCTCCTCATCCCCTCACCCATACTCCAACACCAACACAGTTTTAACTGATTTTGACATTTATATTCCTCTTGGAAATTTTACTTCAATAAAGAATGTTAATAACCTGTGAAGCTGCAAACCACACATGGCCTTTAGTGTCGCCATGAACCCTACAGGCTATGATTTGGGACAAAGGCCAAAATAAAGGCAGTTTTGGGGAGCAGGAAAATCACCAGCCCATGACTCAGGTAATTGGGTTTGAAATGGAGCTCTCCTCTCCCTACCAATGTACTCTGGTTAAATCCCAAACTTGTTTCTTTCTGTATGCAAGGGCATGAAAAGGCATCTCTTCTTACCACTTGGGCCATCTAAATATCCACTGAAAGACATACTTTGAAAAGCAAAAGGTGAGCCAGCTAAGTGGCAGGATGGTTAAGGTGGCTGGATCTCACATGGCTCTCTGAGTGATTTGAGTCCCAGACCCAGCAGCGTGAAAAACAGGTTGGACACATGTGCATGAATTGCCAAAACCCTGAGAGGAGAATTGAGAAGGAATTATGGCACCGCCATTCCTCTTGCGGGGTGATTTCTCACTTTCTCTCTCGCTCTCTCTCTCTCTCTCTCTCTCTCTCTCTTTCTCACTAGCAAACACATGCGCCCTATGGCCAAAAAAAAAAAAAAATAGCAAAATCCCTACAAACATAAGCAAGGTAGTAAGATAAAGTAAGAGCATAATTTATCAAACAAATCAAAGAGGAATAAAGCTTTACAAATAAATATATTTTCTAAGTAAGAAAAACCTTTCTTTCTGACTGCCAATTTGATTTTATTTACATTTTGGTAATAGGACCTGTTTCTAGACTAGATGACTCTCTTTTTCAAGCAAAGCGCAACACCTAAGAGTTATTGATTATTGCTGTCAGGAGTTATGGAGGCTGTGAATTTGTGTTATAATGACTGGACTCTCCTTTTATAATTCTGGACTCTCTTGTTCTGAGAGTATTTCTGTCTCTTTTTCTCTGGTAAGTAGTTATTTTTCTCTGCTGTCCAGGCTGCTGATTTTCAGAATTCCCCTGATTCCTGCTTCTAAACCACTTTAGATGAGAAAACCTAAAAACCTGCTTAGTTAAAATCAGGTGCAACATTAAGAGCCTATTAAGTTCTTCTGTGAACAAACCAAAGCAGTTTTATACATTTTTATATTAATCCTCCTAAGGTCATGTGCCGCCTGCTCAAAAGCTTTATAATGCTTCCAATTCCTACCAAAACAAGTCCAGACACCCTGGGCTGGTACAGTTTTCAAGGCCTTCCACCTTCTGTTCTCCAGGCTTATTTGCACAGTCCTTCTCTCACACTCCAGGTGTTTTCCCATACCCAGATTGCCGCCCTCGGCCTCCTCTTGCACTTTGAAACACTGCCTGTCCTTCAAGACTCACCTCCTTCGAGACATGCCTTCTGTTAAAGATAACCTCTCCACCTTCTGAACTCTCATTTTTTTCAGGATCTACACTATAGCATTTATCATTTTCTGACTTAAGGTAATACATGTGTTAAGGATACCTAGTTCTCTACTATCCTGAAGCCTTCCTGGAGAGGTTCCCTACGATTCTGACACTGCTTCTTACCAAGCAAAGGGATAAATCGACAGTGGTGACTATTTAGTCACTTCTTGTTCTCTGAGCCTCACTCCCCCATGTTCTCATGGCTGAGACTGCTCCTACCTACGCGCCTACCAGCTCCATGGTGAGAAGGAAGTGACTTCCCCAGGGTACCTGCTAAACTGAATCTTTGCCCTCCCTGGCTTCGGGGGCACTTGGCCTGCCTCTCCCCTTTGCTTCTCTGGAAGAGGAGCTGCACAAGGTGTTCCACTGAGTGTGTGGCCTGTGGTCTGCTGGGGCACTCACCGCTGCCAAGTCGCAGAAGCAGCACATCCTGGAGCCTCCGGTTGAGGTCGCGGAGCTCCTTCATTTCAGACACGAGTGCCCCATACTCCTTGAGCTTCTTGGCCTGCTGTACCAGCTGCCTCCGAGTCCGCTCCAGCTCCTGCTGGAGGTGGCGCATCTCCTCCTGCTGCTGCTGGTAGTTACGCAGCAGCTCCTCATACAGAGCCCGGGGCACCACGGCATCCTCCAGACTGTCCATGTCCTCCATGCCTGGCGAGGCCTCCACGAAGACCTCTTCCGGACACGTGTTGTGGCCCAGGCTCAGGCCGTTCTGCTTCTCGAGCCGGGCCACCACTGCCTCGATGCTCTTGTGCGCCACTTCGCTCGGCTTCCGCCCCTCGGGTCTCTGTGTAGGACAACGAGAGTCAGTTCAGGCAAGGGCAGCTGGGACTTTCTTGGACTGCGGCTCAATATTTCCCCAGACAATCCTAGAATCACAGAACCACAGAATATCAGTGTTTGGAAAAACCTGTGCAAACACTTAGTCAAAGCCTTTCATTTTACAAACCGAGAAACAGAGTTCCAGAGCGGGGAAGGGTCTTGCCCCAAGTCATGCAGTCTGCTGGTGGCAGAACCAGGATTCTGGCCTCCCAGACCAGCAATTCTCCCATTCCTCCACTCTGCCTCTGGGATACACGTACTATGACCATGACCACCATTCCCAACTCCCAGCCCCTGGCCCACCCACAATGCCTCAGCAGTGACTATCTCATAGGGACATCCAATACGTATTTGTGGAAAATCAGGAAGAAATCAAGACAGGCCAACTCATCCCCAGAGACGTCGCATTCAAATCTCATTACCAAAAACATTAAAAACAACAACCAAAATGGTATTCCATCAGGTAACCTTTTCCTCAAGGATGATGTAGTTGGGAAGGATGTTTAAGAATTCCAAACTCTTCTAGGGCAGGAACCATGTCTTATTTTCTCTGTTTTTCCACTGCCTACTCATTCAGAACTTGCACTCGGCAGGGTCTTAATAAATGTTTACTTAACTGAAAAGTTCAAAGAATGCCAGCAATGCAAGATAATTTCAGTTTAAATGCTTCCTTTTACAGGTAAGGCCCAGAGAGGGAAAGGACTATACTCAGGACCACATGGTGAGTTACAGAAAACCCGACTTTCAGCACAAGTCTCCTTCTCCCACATCTGCCAGTGTCTCCCTCAGCGAGACAGTGGATCCTGAGAGGAGAGGTCATTTAGAAGAGTATATCCAGGACTCTCCAGGCATTGGGGGTTTGACTGCCTGAGGAAATTCCAGGTCAAGTGGACAAAGCTTCCATTGAGGGGCAGTGGGAGTGGTAGGACTGAGAGCAGGAGAAATGAGGGGGAGGAAAAGACAACTAAGGACACAAAATCTGGACTTACTTAACTGTGCTTAACTGTGTCAGGTCAGACCTGCTTTAACTTCTCACCAAATTTTGAGAAATTTAAGGAAAACAAAACATAACCGTTACTCTGAGATTGAGACCAAAATCCTGTGTTGTTTTATCTGCTTGGATAAGGTGCTGTTAATGTAAATGTAGCTAAAATTGAAATAAACACTTGAGGCATCTGTCTGCACTGTCCTCTGAGGCTTCTGGTGGCAGGGACCAGGTCTGGCTAATCTCCGTGATCTCAGGGGCCTACACGAGGCCAGCCCCACACTGGGGGTGCAATGAATGCCATGAACTTGACTCAACTGTGTCTTTTGGGAACATCCTTGACCTTGAGTCCAAAATCAGACTAAAGTCAATGCAGAAGGTTTCCTTCTTCCTTCTCTTCCCCGCCCTTCCTCTGGAGTACTGACTAAACTATACAGAAAACAAAACAAAACAAGACAAAACAAAAACAACACCAAAAAGAAACAGCCAGCTAGCTTGCTGAACAAGATTTTCTACAGCTTTATAAGGTGAAAGCTAGAGGAGAGTAAGTGGGGTACATAGCAAGCAAATAGACCCTCATGAGAGTTTCTGTTCAACCTAGAGTCCTACAACAACCCACTCAACCCCCCGTAAATCTTGCTTACCCTGTTTCCCAGTGAGTCCACTCTTAGCTGTTTGGGACAATCTGATAGTGACTGGCTATCAAGAACAGCTGTTTAATGTTCTTGTAGCTCAGCAGTGACGTCTCCAAAAGTATGGGCCAGGGAGAAGCACACTGTCCCAAAGCCCAGCAGCAATGACACTGCAGAGACTGTGCAAACAAGACCGTGCTTGCTGGCACAGCATGAATTTGGGATGCCTTGAAAGTTGGTCAGCAAGGCAAATGCATATTAGCTGTCTCCCAAGTTTCCCCTGGCCCTAAAATAATGACCCATATACCAGGGGACACTTACATAGGGAGAAAAGGCCAAACTAGAATTCTTTTGTTATAAGAAATCTGAAAACACTCTCGCTTACTTCTAAAAAAGAAGAAAGATTTTGTTACCTTGATGTGTCTAAGCTGTAAATCTTCTTCCCCGTAATCTTTAACCTCCCCATCTTCTTCTACGTGATTGAGAGAAAGTTTGGGGATTTTGATTTTCTTCTGCATCACACTGTTTTCAAGGTCAGATTTGTCTTCTAAAATGCATATCAAGAGAACAAGGTTCATTATGAGTCAAAATGCTCAAACTGCCCAAAACCACAAATGCCAGAAAATGACTGAGGCCAGACCAGTTAAAAGGAAAAGTAAACAAACCTAAGACCTCTTCCCTCCTGCATGTAGGGATCTTAAGAAACGGGCAGATCAAACTCTAGAATCAAGGGTGCTTGCTGAAAGCACTGTAACACAGCAGTGAAACGGCATCCCATGAACTTGCTTAGGAGTTTCACCACGTACATCTTAAAGTGTAGCCTTTTATGGAATTCTGGAATCTTGGAACTGAAGTGGCCCTTAGATTGCTACCTAGTCTAAACTTAACTGGCACATGGAATCCCTCAACAATGAAGATCCTTCTAAGCCAATATCTTCCTACGAAAACTTGGTGGGTTTCTACCAGCTCGGGTTGGCATACAAGAGATGGTAGCTCTTATGGAGGTAAAGCCTACACCAGAAGGGCAGGGACACAAGACAGGCTACAGTAAAGTAGACACAGGGAGAGTAACAAGTAGCATGTGTTGCCTTTTCACTGACAGCAAATCACAGAATGACTGGTCTAATGCTCTTATTTACAGATGAAGAAAATCAAACACAGAGGAAGGAAGACTTGTCAAAGATACGAGTCTGTGAAAAGAGCCAGAAGTGGGAAACAGGCCTCTGAAACCTGGCCCAGGGCTTAGGTGTGCTCCAGCACATTCTTGGATGTGCACTTCACTGTAAAGCATTGCACAAATACAAAGGACATTACTTCTCTCCATTTTTGCATTCTTTAAGCTCAATCTCAGATTACCTGAGAAGATTTTCTCCCCTGCATAATTTTTTTTTAAGTTTATTTCTTGAGAAAGAGATACCTCAACAGGGTCATCATGCTGCTTTCTCGCCTCAGTCTCAGCCAGCCTGGATCATGGGCATAAGTATGTGCTCCCAGCACATGGAGGGAGGCTCTGGGACATGAACCCAGACCATTCCCATGTGGGTCCAGTTGTGCTACCACCGTGCCACTACATGGCCACCCTGCACAGATTTCAAGCTGCATTTCTCAGATCTGTCTCTCTCTGGAGATATCAAAAGTAAAAGTTCAAATGGGAGGGCTCCTGAAGTAGAATTTGGAACCTGCTCTGGAACTAACCATTTGTGGTAAAAATACCTTGTGTTCTGGGATTTGCCTGAGACTTTGGGAGCATCTGTTTCTTATATTCCACAAAAGTTCCCACTGCTGTGTCCTAAATGCATTTTCTGGCATGTTGCCCAATGCTGGAGGTGGCTCATGACTAGGTAACAAGTGAAAGCTAGACTCCAAGGATCCTCAGGTGTGTGAGTGTATGTGTGTGTGAGGGTGTGTGCATGTGTTAAACATGCTCTTATGCTTCTCTGAGGCCAGGCTTCACAACTTGTTAGTAAAGTTGAGAAGGACTTTACAAGTACATAACTGTTCCACGATGTACTAAAATGCTAACTCTTCCCACATGGTCTTAGGAATGGAACCCTAGTCGGTCAGAGGTGGGACCTAGAACCAGGCAGGACAGAATGAAAACCTCAGTTCTTCTTTTATAGGGTCAGGAAAACTGGTCTAAGGCCTAAGGCCTCTCTGAGCTCAGGTCCCTTCTTTATAATGGAGTTGTGGATATGAGAAAAATAATCCACACAAGTCATCAAACAGTGCCTGGTATACACTGGACACTCAATAAATATGACATTATAATTGGTATTCTCAATTTGCTTGGAATCATTTTATTCCCTTAAGTATAAGGTGGATAGAGTTAATTTCAAAAATTTAAAAAAAAAAATGAGGGTATAGAGTATAGAGGAACTGAACTGCCCAGAAAAAAAAAAAAAGATGATCCTTGTTAACAACCTCCTACTGATGAAAATGACTTTTCCCATGAGCAGAGCCACAACCTTAGAATCTCTTTTCTCAAGAATGGCCCATTCTTGTTCTCTTTGTGCCTACAAAGTACATCCAGTGGGTTGGGCATGAACACCAGCAGGACTTTGGCTTTCTAAAAGAGCAATAGCTTCCCTCCTACAAATCCCTGTTGACTTTTTCAAAGCCAAAGAGCTGCTAAAATATAAGACCTAATGAAGGTACTTCAAATGAAATTACCTTCAAATGGGATGTGTGTGCACATCCACGTACACATGTACACTCACATGAGGAAAAAAAAACAGACAGATAATGCAGGATGAAAGGGTGGTATTAGGACTTCTGAACATGTTGGGAACAAAGCTCCTGGGCTAATCTTTAGTTTGACAAGTCCAAGGGCAAAAGTTTGAGATGCCAGACACCGAACTGGAAACTACAAGTTATGCTTTGCCTCCTGAGCTAAAGCTATGTAGCTCATGATCAGAGGTCACTGTGCAGTGGGTATGAAGAGACACAATCATTCATTCTCACAAAATTAGGTAATATTTGACTGGAGAACAATCTTCAGATTACTTCATTTAATGTTTTCAACATTCCAATGAAGAAAATGAGGCTCCAAATTATGAAATGTATTAAACATAGTCATGCAACAATCAGGCTCAGAGACATAAAGGAAGAACAGGAAAGACAGGGTTAGTTAGAGCCTTGTGGAGAGCATTGTGCAAGGTCCCAGACGTTAGAGTCATAACATGAACATAAGAACTCAAATCATATAATCCAGGCTCAGAGCCTCTGCTTAACATTTACTGAGAATTTACTCTGTGGGATCTAGGCTAAGACATGGGGACAGAGACAAACACCTATTTGAGGACATGAGATTAAAAAAACCATGAAAAGATGATTCAAGAGATCAAATACTGTGTTTGAAGTAACAGCTATAGGATTTCAGGAATAAGGGAGACCACTTTGGTTGATATAACCATAGAAGGCTTCTGAGAGAAGGTGGTATTTAAGTATGACTCCTTACTTGTTGAGTGATCTTGGGTAAGTCATTTTACTTCTATGAGCCTATTTCATCATCTGTGACTAGAAGTAAATAATTCCTACTCACACTCAGAATGCTGTGAAGATGATCAATTCCATGTGTTAAGAACTTGAGCAGAGTGACTGACACTTCAATAGTGAGTGCTCAGAAAAGGATAGCCATTTAAAGACACTAAGAATCTGGACCACACAAGGGGCGGGGGGAAGAATAGATGCCAAGAGGAAGGTTGGAAAACATTTAGACTAGAGTGATTCTAAAAGACAGCCCTGTTATAGGCAGAAGAGAGAGATGAAGAAGAAAGATAAGGTGACTGGAACTAGAGAATAAATGGCCCTGAATGCCACATTAAGAAGTGCCAAGGTTCAATCTGCAGGTGTGGAAAGGACCAAAGTCAGACAACCTAGATTCCAAGTCTGGCTCTGTCCCTCCATAAGTGTGAGAAGTCAGGCAAACTGCTATCTCATTGACTGTCATTTTTCTCTTTCTGTAGAAATAACATCTACCTCAAGTGGGGATCAAATCAGCTCAGTCAATGTGTCTTGAAAACAACAGAGCCCTGTGCAAACAGAGTTGACAACAGAGCTCAGCAGGTACTGCCTGATGGCCTGAGGCTTGGGGCAGGCTTGCTTTTTGAGGTGAAGACCTGCCCCATCTAATGGCTTGGGATGGGTAGTTAGGAGTGTTCCATTCCCAGCTTGAAGACATAAGCTCCCAGCCCTACCAGCCATACCCAAGGCTCCATGTTCTTTCATCTAATTGGAATGTCTTGTCTCTCCTTCCTGTTGATTGATAAACTTTGTTCAGCCTCCATTCTTCTCCTTCTTCCTTAAGGGTCCCACTACACATTGTACACACTTTCTTTGTAGTCAGTTATCTTACTATGTTGCAGTTACCTGCTTAGAGGTCTACCTTCCCCACTGCAGTGAGTAACCTCAGAGTAGAACCCCTATCAGAGGACTATTCACATAACAGGACTCATCAAAAACACTGTTTAATGAAAGAATAATAAAAAGAGTCTATACTAATAGGTATGTGAGAAAATAGACAACCTAGATTCCAAGTCTGGCTCTGTCCCTCCATAAGTGTGAGAAGTCAGGCAAACTGCTATCTCATTGACTGTCATTTTTCTCTTTCTGTAGAAATAACATCTACCTCAAGTGGGGATCAAATCAGCTCAATGTGTCTTGAAAACAACAGAGCCCTGTGCAAACAGAGTTGACAACAGAGCTCAGCAGGTACTGCCTGATGGCCTGAGGCTTGGGGCAGGCTTGCTTTTTGAGGTGAAGACCTGCCCCATCTAATGGCTTGGGATGGGTAGTTAGGAGTGTTCCATTCCCAGCTTGAAGACATAAGCTCCCAGCCCTACCAGCCATACCCAAGGCTCCATGTTCTTTCATCTAATTGGAATGTCTTGTCTCTCCTTCCTGTTGATTGATAAACTTTGTTCAGCCTCCATTCTTCTCCTTCTTCCTTAAGGGTCCCACTACACATTGTACACACTTTCTTTGTAGTCAGTTATCTTACTATGTTGCAGTTACCTGCTTAGAGGTCTACCTTCCCCACTGCAGTGAGTAACCTCAGAGTAGAACCCCTATCAGAGGACTATTCACATAACAGGACTCATCAAAAACACTGTTTAATGAAAGAATAATAAAAAGAGTCTATACTAATAGGTATGTGAGAAAATATTCAACATCATTCACAATTAGGGAATTGCAAATCAAACTGCAATGAGATACCCCTTTATACTCATTAGGATGGCCCTAATAAACAAGAAAGGAAAATAATAAGTACTAGAGCCCTCATGTTTCTGGTGCAAATGTAAAATTGAGCAGCCACTCTGGAAAACAATTTGACCGCTCCTCAGAAAGTTAAACACAGGCTCAAGAGCAATGGTGCAGTGTACTGTGCTGCTCTGCAAAACTGGAAGCCATATTTCCATATTGGGGTTTGGTTCCTAGGTCAACCAGTACTGAGCAGGCACATGTACCTGTGACGTTGAGAAGGCTGGGAGAAGGATAATGATGTGAGATACTTTTGAGAGTGCTTCTCTCTCTCTTTTCTCTTTTCTC